TATATGTATATATATATATATTTTGCTTTGGTATTTTTTTGTTCTTTTACTATAATACTGGGTATTTGTTTAATGAAGGACATATAGATTGTTAATTGTTGTGGATTGTGGTTTTCTTCTTTTTAAGGATTTGGAATGCCCTGACAGATAATTATGGAAATGTAATGCCTGTGGACTGGAAGTCATCTCACACCAGGACCTTGCATTTGCTTACTCTGAACCTGTCAGAAAAAGGGGTAAGTTAGAAAAGAACCAGTTGTTTCTCAATAACTGATTCTGATAATGAAACTAAAAAGTAGCATTTCTATTGAGTTGCCTTTTATTTCCAAGCTTATAGCAATTAGAGTGGCCCGCTATTGCCATAATCAACTTGCTAGCACATTTCTCTAATTCTGCATCAGCACATGCTCCCGTTTCTGTTTATCTAAATTTCTATCACCTGTATATGAATGTCAATGACCAGCATTTTTTACACCTTAAATAACATAGCTTTGATGTGTTGAGAGTACTTGGTGAGAATCCTAGCCTATGTTTAAATATATAGACACGCTCTATAGTGATGGGGTTACGTCCTGAAAAATGCATCGTTAGGCGATTTCATCTGTGCAAACATAGAGTGCACTTACACAAACCTAAATGGCATAGCCTACTACACACCTAGGTTATATGGCATAGCCTATTGCTCCTAGGCTACAAGCCTGTATGGCATGTCACTGTATAAAATATGTGATTAAATCAATCATGAGAAAATGATTCAATCAAGAGGCACAGTAAACGTGAGATGTGTGAGACCTCTGCCGGGCTGACATGGCACAGAGTTTTACAGCAAACTTTTTTTATGAGTAGAAAGAGTACCATCTAAAGTAATGATAAAAAGTATAGGATAGTAAATACATAAACCAGTACAATAGTCATTTATTATCATAATCAGGTATTACATACCATAATTAATTGTATGTGCTATACTTTTATATGACTGGCAGCACAGTAGGTTTGTTTACATAGCATCACCACAACACCTTGAGTAATGCATTGCATTCTGATGTTACTGGGCGATAGGAATTTTTCAGCTCCATTATAATCTTATGGGACCACCGTGGTGTGTTGTTACCAAAGTTTTGTTCTGCAGCACATGAGTGTATTAGGGATACTAGAATATCAACAGTTAACTTTCTGATGAATTTAAGGACTTGCTGGACATGACGTGGTGCTCAGAGACTATGTATTCCTGTGAATATTGGGAACCTTTAAAAGGCATTTTAATTCTTGTAAATACTGGGAGTTTAATGTAGTAGGGCTGTCTGTATTTTAAATAGTATTAACATTTTGTGAAAATGAGTTTTCTCTTATTCCCTATGCTGTACACAACATCCCCATGACTTATACCTGGAAGTTTGAACCTCTTCTTCCCCTTCACTTCCTACCACTCTCCCCTGCCCCCCGTTTTTGATTTTTCAGTCACAGTTGACATTTAATATTTTATTTCAGGTGTACAGCATAGGAAAATTATTTTCTTAAATGTGATTCAGAAAAGCTTGCTGCCTATTTTCTAGTAAAATATAGAATTCTGACTATGTTTCCTAATATTCTAGTAGATACAGAATTTTTACTGTTTGCTCCAGTTATTAACCCTGTTAGGCTGTTTCGCAGACTAACTTGACATACCTGTAGTGAAAAGGAATAAAACAAAATCATCCTATGCTCTGTCTTCTGTTTATTTAGCTCTTAGCTATCATTTTGAGCTTAGTTCAACTTTCCCTTCCTCTCTGAAGCTTCCTATTACTATTTTAGCCTTTGCTGATCTCATGGAATTATACAATTTTAGAGTTGGAAGGGACTTTAAAGGACACGTAATCCAACCTCTCACATGGGGGGAGTACCCATCTACAGTATGTCTGGCAGATGGTCAGTTAGCCATGGCCTAAATTCTAGCATGGAAGGAAAATGCACTCCTTTCTGTGGAAATTGGTTACTCTGGGCAGGGGGGGGTGGGTGGGTGGTGTGTGTGTGTGTGTGCGCGCGCGCACGCGCGCACGTAAACCTTACAGGACTTATCAGTCCCATAGAATTTAGCCCCATTGACTCCTGGGTGCTAGTCCCTACAGCACTTTTGTATCTCAGATTACTATTGTGTTCTCTTACTAATCATGTTTCTGGGTCTATGGTTAGATTGTGACTTCCTGGTACGTGTCTTTTTATTTGTCTTTTTAGTAACTACCACTGTGCCTGGCATGTAGTGAGTACTAAGACAGATGTTGAGCGAATGAATGAATCTTGTTAGAGACCATAATGGAAAGGCATTTAAAAATATATATATTTTCTATATTATTTAACATAGTGCCGAATCAACAATAGCTACGCAGTGAGTAATTTTGACATATGAAAAAATAGCATCGAAATGGTCTTTTCATAGTTTCAAAGGGAAACACATTAGCTGCATGAAGGGGACACTCTAATCCAGTTTCATTGAATAACATGTATACCTTGTATTGTTCTTAGATTGCCTTTGGGAAGTCCCTTTTTCTGCCTTTTGACTATTGTTTTCAATGGCAGACAATGGAATAGTCAGAATAGTGATTACTAATGACTTGGAGTTTAGTCCTAGTACTCACTGTAAAAGCCTTACCTGGAAAACTCAGATTAAAATGAACAAGTGATGATCTGTCATCTATCTATCTTGATACAACTACACAGGTGATGAATAGAACTAAATTTAGAGCTATTCCTTGGGAGTGAGTAGCACTTATTAAGTTCCTGAAGAACAAATGGGTAACAAGGAACTATGTTAGAAGCAACCATGTTATTCTATTACACATAGAATATAATTTACTTTTAAATATTAATTTTTTAACCTGAGAAAGTTATTTTATTACTATTGCTAACTGTGTGCTCTGTTCTTTCCATAACCGAACTGTGCAGAATTTACCTTCTGGAAGCATTCTTTAGATTATTCCAATTATAAAAGTCTATAGGAAATTATTTTGACAAAGGGAGAAGAAATTTCTTTTGCATTAGGATGAGAAAGACATTCAAGAAAACCGCAGTTTGCTGGATTTCAGTTTTTAATTTTTCTTCCATTGATATTTAAGCTGTCACACTTCTAACTTTGTTGGGCCTTTTCTAGAGTAAGGCATCAAGGACAGTCCAAATTCTTCCATGGGCACATTTTTTCCATTTGAGGCAGCTTTAGTTTTATAGAGGGGAACAGCACCACCAGCTGTGTATCTAACCCTGGCACAGGAAGGAGTGACTTGGGAATGCGTGGCAGAGAGAAGGCACATTGATGCCGAATGGGAGAGTGAATAATGATACCCATGACAGCCAAGGTTAGTTTTCAGAGCCTCGAAAGGGATTCAGCCCTTAGCATATGCCATCTCTGTGGGGAATGGGCTTGGCTCCCTCTCTGGAAAGATGATCTGGGGTCATTATTTCTGTTGTCATGGAAATTTATTCTAATGGCTTACTGGTATCAGTCATGTGTTTTGGCAATAGCTGTAAACCTGTTCTAAATCCAGTGCCTTTCTTGATCGTGCTTATGTGATAGAATGCTCCTAAGTTATGTTGCCTTCGGAACATCTCCTATGCCATTTTCTTCTTCCTATCGTGAGCATTTTTTTTTTCAAGGACTTGGACTTTGTTTATGTATCTTTAAATCTTCAAGAGTAGAAACAGGAAGAAGGTAATAACATCTTCCTTAGGAGTAATTTCAAATTAAAACTTGTCTCTAAGGAGAAAAATAAAACCATGGTCCTCAAATTACAACATAGAAGAGTGATTTGGGGTGTGTATTGAAATTTAAGACTCAGTGAAGGTAATTGTTAGGTCTACTCTGTATTATCCATACACCCTTATGATCATATTGTGGAATTTTTCATCCCTATTTCTCCAGTCTTGAAATCTGACATCCTTTCTCATCAAAAGCCTAATCTCTTGCCCGTTCTCCTTATTAAAAGGATAACTGTCATAGTTTAAAAAGTAAGCTTAGAACTATAGAACTTAACATGAAAAAGCAGCCTCAGCCCTGCTTACCCCATCCTGATTTCCACTTACCGGATGCAACCGCTTTCGACTACTTCAACCGTTTCTTCTAACATAACATCTTCATGTCAATTTACTTGATTTTATTTTTCAATTTTAGACTTTATCCATTTACTTTCTACCCAATGAAAGTTTAGCTCTCTCATGGTGCTCCGTCCAACCACAGCAACATAACCTTCACAACAACTTAACCTTCCCTTATCTTCCCAATATAATCATATCAAAATATTTGGTTAATCATCGTTTATATTGACTATTTAAATATGCACAGTTGACCCATTTTAGTATAGTATGATTAAATTTTCTCTTGTAATTCTTCTTCCTTAAGGTAATAATAATTGCCTTTTCGTGGTTTATTTAGGTTATCATGAGCTCACTAATGCAGCCTCAACAGAGCCATAAAACTCATTTTAGTAATTGAAATATACTGTATAATCTTTCTCCTCTCTGCATTTCTCCCTCTCAGGCTTTTCTTGATGCCCTCTGCAGTTAACAGTTCTGAACTGGTTATTCTCTAGTTAGCTTCACAGCCATCCTCGTGGGATCTTCACTATCATTACAAGAGTACCATTCACCTCTTTCTTGTATTAGATATTTTGTCTATTTCCTTCTTGGGTTTCCTCCTGGTTTTAATGGAGCATATTCTGCAGTAGCTTTCTGAGAAAGGGTGCATAAGAGTTAAATCTCTGAGAATTTGAATATCTGAAAATATCTTTCTTCTAAGCCCCCACCTAATTGTTAGTTTAGCTGGATATAGGATTCTAGGGTGGAATTAATTGAAACACGAAATTACATTGATTGTTTTCCAGCTTCTGTTGTTGCTGTTGAGAATTCAAGTGACATTTTGATTCCCGACCCTTTTAATATGATGGTTTTTCTCTCTGGAAACTTTATGTTCTTTTTCTCTCACAGTGTTCTGATGTTTCATGATGATGTGTTGAAGGCCATGGCCAAGCATTTCCTAGGCCGATGGTGCAGCGAGAAATAGAATTAGGAATTATGTCATCACTGTGGTACAGCATGGAATTGTACTGTGTGGAAATGGATAGACCTCGGAGAGCTCATGTAGCTCCTCTCTCAGCCTAATGTTATGACAGGCACCACACCAGTGTTCCTTTGCTCATCTCACTTGCAGGTTTCTCACAGTGGGCTCTCTTCACCATTAAACTTTGGATGCTCCCGTGTGAGGAACTAGGGTGGAAGTAGAGACCTACAATACTCACTTGAATCCTCAATTATATATATATATCCTCTGCATTGGTAAATAAAATAATTTTCCTAGGTAAAATACTATTTTTAAAATTGTATACTAAGAGAAGTACATAGTTGCTTCTTACGTATTTCCTTGCTGCCATTTATTTGTGAACCCAATGTGTGCTACTCTTTCCTGAGGAATGGAGTTTTAATTTCACTTCTAGTCATCATCTGAAGTCACATCACGTTAAATAGTTGGATGCTCACTTGTCCATTTTAATCTGCTGAGTTTTCTAGGTAAGGTTTTTACAATTCTAGTACTAAACTCTAAGTCGTCGTTAAGGAGCTGTTTATACTGGTGTAAGCAGGGCTAAGGGACACCAACTAGGCCCGGTGTGGTACCCCGGGGCTGGCAATAACAAGCAGTACTAGCACCCCTTGGAATGAAGAGGTAAGCAGGGAAAGAAGAAGCTATCAGAACCTGGAGAGAGTAGCTATAGGGGAGAAGTCTGCTTGATGGGAGGTACTGCCTTTGGCAGTCTGGCAGGGAGACAGAGACAGCAGAATAAATGCCCAGTCCTCACCCTCCCACCTTCCAGTCTCCTGCTAGTGTTTGCCAGTGGTGTTTAACCCAACTAGAAGCCAGACTCAAGGGCATCCTCTGATGTAGTCTATAAAGGTCAGCCTCCTGGAGGTGAGGCAAATGGAAAATCTCCAGCACAGTTAGATTTACAGATGTTTTTGGAATCCAGAAATATTCTGCTTTTAGAAGAAGTGATGTTTAGCTGGAAGGGCTAAGTGTACCCCTCATGGACAGTGGCCATCTGCCAGGGAGTTACCCTTCACCCTGAATGTCAGAAGTTAGTTCACAGGTAACTAACTTTGTTTTCTGTGGAATTTTAATATATACCAATCTTACTATTAGCTTGTTAACTAAATAACATTTGCTGCCTTCCCTGCCTGTTTTCCTCCTCTATTTGCTATCTTCCCTACAACTTCCTAACAAATGCCCTATATTTTTGTACTTACCAGTCAGCTTTTATAGCACTCTTCTTGGAAAAAACAGTTAAGTATGTATCTGTACTGGGCAATAGGAGATGCTTGCAGCACATGTTAGCAATTTCATATTTATTCTATATTCCTCTCATTCCTATTTGAGGTGAATGTGTAAGGTACTTCACACACTCCCAGGTATAGAGCAATTGTTATAATTTCTCCCTTTGGAGGGAAAGTTCTCAGCAGATGTGCCCTTCTGTATGTAGTCTTGTTTACCCAGACACTTTGACTTTGTTGTGATCAGGTCCAGCTTTTAACAGTAGGTTATTTGGTTTTAGATAAGTGACAGCTTGCTCTTTGACACGTCCGACGACGAGGAGTTGAGAGAACAGCTGGACATGCATTCAATCATCGTGTCCTGTGTTAACGATGAGCCCCTCTTCACTGCAGATCAGGTACAAAGGAGAAATTCACCAATGAAAAGAAGGGAACCTCCAGCTGAAAAACAATTCCTTATTTTGGCAACAAGTGATGTGTTGTTGGAATCTACTTGTTTTTCCTGTATTTTCTGGTTTGTTAGCCCCTCCGTGGAGAAGAGAAGGGAGTCTATGTAATCTGAAGCAGATGGGATTATGTTAGTTGGGAAGATTTTCCAATAAGGCAATTTTCCAAGATAAGCACTGTTAAAATTACACCAAGTTACTAAGGGAAGGTTATTGCTTACACTAAAATCAGAAAAAATATTGTGAATTTTCTTCTTTAAATTTAGCCAGACATAGGCAAACTATAATATATCTGTGTAGAAATTATCTAGTTTCTCTAAACCCTATGTAAAAATCATTAGGACTTATTAGATGTGCATATTGTGAACTTGCAAAAGAAGTGAGCATTATTCCTATGGAATGCTCTAATAATGTCAACCCTGTATTCATTTAAACCCAGTTGAATCAGCTTTCTCATTTTCTGAATACTCTTCCCACTTCTGTTGTATTGTCAAAATGTGATGCAAGAACTTCTTCTTGATTAAATGTTCCATGGCTACTTGGACTGTGAATTCTACATTATATTTTTAGGCTGGAAAAACAAGGTCAGTAAAGAGATATAGTTTGGTAAAGTTGGGAGGAGTACATTAAATCTGTGTCATTTTGCTCCTTAGTCATATTTGTGGTTGTCATATTCTAGGCCTGGAGAGAGTAAAATGCTTGAAAAGCAAGATAATAGGTTAGAGGGCTGAGTGGGGTAGATAGATTATGATAGTGCAGGGAACATGAGACACTGAGAAGTCATTGACTCCTCAGTAATCTGCCTGAATGCCATAAGCTATCTATCTCTGCTTTTAAGACTTAAGTAGATTCTGTAGCTTACATCAGTGCCTCCTCCTACTGTTTTACAATGCCTGTTTTGGAAAATCTTGCTAATTAACATAACGACTACCTCCTTCAGGTTTACTTTTGTTTTTTCCTTGGTACAGGTGTTATATGTTAAGCTTACTGATTGATGTATTTTTTCTAATAGGTTTTTTTTTTTTTAAACTCATGTCTGTTTTTCTAACTGTTGAGTAATTTTTCCACTTTTCCTTAAATTTTCTCTGAGTTCTAGATCCTCAGCTTTTGGACTCTAGAATAGGACAAGATGCCGTTGTAAAATTTGAGCAACATTATGTATGACAGTAGATTCCCTGCTTTTGTGCAGCTTTTCCCTCTTTCTTTACACTTTATATTTTAAGCAACTTTTGAATATTCCGTTATCTTTCATTGAATTAACATACAAAATTTCTTTTCTGCTGTTAAAGGAAAATTTTGCTGCCAAAGAGGTAATTTCTTGCTCTCTATATAAGTGTTTTTACTGTTGTTTTTTCCTAAATTTTGTGTCAGTTTGATTAAATGGCTTTAGATTGAGCACTTGCTTGTGGCATGTGGTAAATTTTCTGTCATTTGCTTATATTTAGAACTATGATCTGGTTCTGGTATGTCTAAAGTAAATTATACTTTATGTGTTTATAGCAAAATTTCTCAGATGTTGCAAGATCTGATAGGGCCTACTACTGAATCATGATGGACATATTAAATCATATTCTATTTAATTTCTTATTTAGTATATTGTAAATTTTTTTAGATAAACCATGTTCACTCTTACAGTCAAAATTAGATTATTCAAAACACCTACTCCTGCACACTGTTGGTTAGTGGAGAATGTAGTGCATTTCTCTGCGAGACTCAGGTGAGCGCCATGTTACAGACGGATCATTTTTCCTATGTAGATGTGATTAACAGTGGTATGTATATTTTGGAAGGTTATTGAAGAAATTGAAGAAATGATGCAGGAATCACCAGACCCAGAAGATGATGAAACGCCCACACAGTCAGATCGGCTTTCGATGCTTTCCCAGGAAATTCAAACTCTTAAGAGGTTTAGCACAAGCAGTTATGAAGAAAGTAAGAAACTACTTAAATCAATGGTCTTTGTCCTTTTTGTATACCTCAAACATACGGTGTGACTATCTCCAGAAATCTTTGATTCTCCCAGGCCAGGTTGCATGTCGTGCCCTGGTCCTCCAGTAATACTCAAGACATATTTTCATCGTTGCTCAGGGACTGTGTCATATTCACCTTTGAATCCTGTATTAGTCAGCCCTAGCTGCTGTAACAAAGTACCAAAGGCTAAGGGGCTGAAACAATGGAAATTTGTCCCCTGACAGTTCTGGAGGCTACAAGTTCGAGATCAAGGTGTCAGTAGGTTTGGTTTCTTCTGATGCCTCTCTCCTTGGCTTGCAGATGGCTGTCTTCTCTCTGTCCTCACATGGACTTTTGTCTATGCATATCTGTGTTCTAATCTTATTTTTGAGGGCATCTGTTTCATTGGATTGGGGCCCACCGTAATGACCTCATTTTAACTTAATTATCTCTTCGAAGACCCTCCTCCAGATGTAGTCACATTCTGAGGTAACGGGGGTTAGAACTTAAACGATGTCCTGTATCTCACATGTAGAGAAGTGCTGAGAAAAAAAAAAAACAACTAAAATAGGGTTTCAGGGAATATTCAGAACTCAATAAAATTCACACATTGAGACGTACGTGACTAAATATGTATTTAATTTTTTCAAGTGGACTTCTCTCTTCAGAAGTGTGCCAGAACCCTGCTAAATTGCTTACAGTTTCTTGTGAGCAGGTAGTTTCTGTATTCCCTTGGCTTTCGTGTTTGTTCTTTTCCTTGTATAAGCCTTGACTGAAGTATTTGTTCATGGGATGATTGATTTAGACAAGTAAAAATTTTGTTCTACTTCTTTCTCAGCCATTTGAGACATAATTTTGCCTACCTTTCTCTACTTAACACCTGCCCATCAGAAGTTTTAAGATTCTGAGATCACAAACAATTTAATTACTTAGAATGTGATTTCCTCTTTGGTATAAAACACCCTGTTGTGTTTGCTTGAAACATTTTTGTCTTAGTATCTGCGGTGCTTTGCTTTTGGTCATAGGAGTAAAAAGGCTGTCAGTATCTGAGTTAAATGAACTACTAGAAGAAATTGAGACCGCCATTAAGGAATACTCTGAAGAGCTGGTGCAGCAGTTGGCCCTGCGAGATGAACTGGAGTTTGAAAAGGAAGTGAAAAACAGCTTTATTTCTATTCTCATCGAAGTACAAAACAAACAGAAAGAACACAAAGAAACAGCCAAAAAAAAAAAGAAACTCAAGAATGGGAGCTCTCAGAATGGGAAGAACGAGAGAAGTCATATGCCCGGCACAGTAAGTGATGTTTGCAGGACACATTCCACACTGGAAATGGTTTCCATGGTAATCCCATCACTCCAGGCCAGCAGCAGGTGGGCTGGGCCTATATGTAAAGGAGTGGGGTGCCTCACCAGGGCGCTAAAGAGATTTTCCGTTCAAGAACATCACTGTGCTCCTTCAGAAAGATGTTTCCTTGGTGGGAGTATGACAGTAATCAGGGTAATTCACTACTGAAATGTTTAGTAAGTAGAAGGTCAAAGGGGAATAAAAAAGGAAGGTGTCTTAAAGAAGCTATAGCAAGTGACCGTTTTAATACATTAAAATGTTAATAGTGGTTTTTTTATGTTCGGTGGGCTTATGAATAATATTTTTAATTGTCTCTTACGAATTGTATAATAAAATATTGAAAGGGGATACATTTAGAGGTAGCCGAATGGTGTTGAGCCTAAAAGCACAGATTGATTTGTAAACAGCTTCCTCATTTATCAGTGAAGTTGGAGTATGAAGATGTCAGTGGCACTTTTGTGACATCAGCCATCTGTCTCAGTACTTGGTAGACTAGAATTTCTGACTGATGAAAACAAGTTCAGAATGTTTGAATCTTTGACTCTTTGTATAAAGTTTGTTATCTGCTTTTTCATTTTTCTTAAGTGGTCCTATTGCCCTTGATTAAAATTTGTCATAAACATTAACTGCTAATTATATGATATGCATTTCCTTATTGATTTTATGGCCTTTCATTCTGCTTTGATCAGTTGAGATTTTGTATGTTGCCACTTTCATTTTGTTTGTATGTAAAGGAATGTTGGTTTTTATTTTTAGAGTATAATGGTTGGGCAAAGGAATCCATTTTTCTAAAGGGCATATACTTTTATAATTTATGATACAACATGGTAATACAAATCACCACAAACTAGCTATTATGATTTGCAGTAATATAAATTCTGTCTTTAAGTCTTGATTTCTTTTTTCTAAAGAATACTTAACAAAGAAATCTCATTAACCAGACTTTGATGGAATCCAGGAAAGAGAATACAGTTCTAGGTTTCTGGGCCACCAGTGAGCAGTTATACAGACAAAAAGAATCTTACCATACATAGCCTATTCATTGTACTGTTTTTGGCCTATGAGTAAATGGATGTTTTCTCAATGTCATGCCTATTTGTACATAGAAAGGACATAGCTTATAAACTACCTTTAAATAAGTTCACAGATACGTGGTACAAAATATTTTTGAGAAATGGTAGTATTGATTGAATAGGTGTTTATTTAGTCACTTTCAGTGACTATTCTGAAAAACAAAACAAAACAAAAAAACCCCCAAAACATTTGTTTGAATATACAGTCCAGAAAGTTTGCTTTACATATCAGGGACAATATGTTGTATTTCATATTTTAAAACACTACACCCTTTAAATTGCCCTATTATACAAGTGAGATTAAATAAAATGCTAAGTTAAAAGGTTATAGCATGATTGGTAATTTCTGCCTGTCTGCTTTTAGGGATTACTTGTAAATCCTCCATTTATTGGTGTTAACACTTGGCTTAAGAAAATAAATTTATCTCTAATGGAGTTTAAAGGCTTCTTTTTGGAACTGCCACATAAAAAGGGTTAGAGTGGATTCATTATGTAATTGTACATGGCATTTATAGTGAGAAATGGCAAGGCAGCATTTAGGTCTGTCTTAAACCTTTATTAGCCTTGAAATAGATTCATAATAACAGTACATGTTTTTCACAATATTTGGACTTGTGAAGTTGCCTCCTGAGTCCTGATCTACTATTTGTGTCAAAACCTTTCATCAGCTTCGAAATGGCATCGCTAAGCTTGTGGTGCTCGTTCCCTTTAGCTTTCTCAAGCCCAAAATATTAGAGAAAGATCATCCCATCTGCAATATAAGGAGCCTGAAACCTACTCAAAACCCTGAAGTGAAATGGTCAGTTGGAGAAACAGATTCCAAAAGGTATTAGCTCTGCAGACATTTTATGTAACATGCAGTTTTGGCAAGGCTTGATCTCTGTGCCTTCGCTATCATCAGTGATACTAATTTCTAAAAATTGATGACTTTTTTTTTTTTTTTTACAAATATCATGAATTATCTGATTTCTAATAGCATTAGTCACTTTTTTTCATTGTACTTTAGTTATTTGTTTTATTAGCAGGACTTGGACTTTTTCCTATAATGTGGAATAGTGTCGTTCCATTTTTTTCTTAAGCATGCTTCATTGAAACAGAACATCAGTTCGTAGTTGATATAACACTTTATCCATTATTGTTAGCTCGTTCTCTTCGGTCTAAAGATACTATGATGAAATATCTGGTTGGGAATAGATCAGAGTTAAACTCTTCAGGGTTAATTTTAGAGACATGTTTTGTTTCAAGCATTTTCTGTAATGAAGAAAAAAAATAGGTCTCAGGGTTGCTATTTTAGAGCATTAGAAATGTCTTTGGGGCATGAAAATACTATCAAATATGGAAGAAAATATTGAGTGTCTTATAAAAGTGAAATGTTATCTCGATTTGTTTTAATTTTTAAAATAATCTTCTATGTGTTGGGTGAGATAAAACAGTATTTGTTCAGCAAATATTTGCAGAGTGTCTTCCTTGTGCCAGGCATATTTTAGATTCAGTGGCCAGTAAAATAGACAAAGCCCATGGCCTCCTGGAGCTTATATTCTAATGAGGGAGACAGGCAATAAACAATGAAAAGAATGAATAGACAGTGCAATTTTAGTAGTAAAGTTACCAAGAAAACAAAGGCTGGGTAAGGTGGTTGATAGCGATGCTGTCGGGGAGCTGTTTTTGATAGAGTTGTCACTGTGTCACTGTTCTTCCTGATTGGCAAAGCAGGCTGCCCTGTCCCTTTCCAGCTTTCCTTTTGGAGGGGAGGTTGAAGTTGTAGATCTTGTCTTTGAAAATAATGAGGCTCAAGAGAGCAAGAGCAGAAAACTTTATATCTCTTTTGTCTTGGTCAGCATCTGGAAGGGCAGAGTGGTAGCGGGTAGAGACTGGAATGGTTGAAGGGCAGTGTCTGTTAATCAGTGTGGTGACTTCATGCATTTCTTTGAATTGACTGTGCTGTTTTCGACATTAGTGCTTCTGTATATGCCATTGCCTTTTTGTGCCGTGGCCCTCCTTTCTTGCTTCCCTTGTCCACTTGGGGGAATTTATTTTTTAAACATCCTTTAAAATCATAGTCAAGCATTGTCTTTCTTCTTAGAACCTTCCTGCAAGTGGACTGCTCTCTCCTTCTTTTGGGATTAATATTACTACTCTTAACTATTTCTGTTAGCACTGTCATACCATATTGCAATTTTTTGTCTTCATGTCTCTGGTATGGTTCCCTAAGTATAGGAAATGCATCTTTATTTTCTTGGTGTCATTAGGTCCAGCATTAGGTACCTAATAAATTTCTGCTGAATAAATGCGTGAAAGAAAGATAAAGGTATAAATCTCTGTTTCTACCTTGAATCTTTCTGCCAGGTGCCAAACCAATGGAGGCTTAATAGAATTTTAAGAGCTTCGGGTTAAGAGCTATGTTTGAATCCTGCTCTTGCCACTGGGTACATACCCCTTTGAGTTCTGGAGGGATTGAATGAAATAATATATGTAAGACTAGCACATACACTGAGTAAATGCTAGTTATTATGTTTCCGGCTGCCTACTAGACATTTCTCCTTGAATATCTTGTAGGAATCTGAAATTTATCCTGTTAAACCAAAGTTACCATTTTCCTGAAGTTTAATCAATTTCTTATATTTTTTCTTTTGGTTAGTCAAACTACAGTCCACTCATTCACTGAAACCAGTGGAATTTCTAGGTCAATGCATGTGTAGTTTTAAAGGGTTTTAAACAGTCAGCTTCCCAAATTGTTCTATGGAAATGTAACCCAGTAACAGTGTAAGCGAGGGGCCGTTTCCCCACACCTCCAGCCAACACCTTTTAATGTGTGCTGATCTGATAGGCAAAAAATGGTTTGATCTGACCGTTTGTATTCTTTTGTGAGTTGCCTGTTATGTTACATTTGAGATGTTTTTCGTATTTATTTGTGAGGGTGCACCTAATCCTGATATCGCAGTGCTATACTCTTGTAATCATTGGCTTAAGTTTGTCCTCAGAAAGACTTCAGTCTTCCCAAAGGCTCATTCACATTGTTTTCCCAGCACCTCACCTAATTTTTGGTGCTTTACATATCACTTAACACATATTTGTTGAATTGAAACATTGCGATAAAGGGATGGAATCCCAGAGGATTTGGATTATTGTTGTTCTGTCATGGATTTTTTTTTTTTTTTTGGTCAGTCTTCTATTTATATAAAATAGATTTCACAGGTCATTGTATTTCAGTGGCATTTCACATGAGTACAGGAATAAGTTGAAAAGTACACCAGTTATGTTTTAATTTAGTGGTGGTGTCATCTGGAGTTATATGAAGTTTTGAAGACATCGGTGTTTATCTGCTTCACATCATACCTTAGTAAGCTTATACGGATGAAAATGGACGTACTTCCTCCTTTAGAATGCAGTAATGCTTTTAAATGTCATGTCTCCTGTAGGGTGCTTATTCTAAGATTAGGGTTGAGAAGATAGGAATCTGTAGTATCTTTTCTGTTTTCCGTATCACATTGAACTTTGAAGAGAAAGTTCTAGTGTGTTTTACTCATTCACCTCCTGAAAATGTGTAATTGCTTCAGTCTGAAGTTTATTCTGAAAACTTTTAGTATATTAGCAATCAGTACTTCAGCTGTAAAAAGAATACTATTACCTTATTTCATTTTTGGGGATTGGGAAGATAACAGCTTAAAAATGGGGGAGAGCTTGGACTTGGATGATAGATACTCTCATATATATTTCTCTTTCACAGATGTATTTCTCCACCTGTCTTTATGACTCACTTCATATTATGACTAATAGTCTATTTTTTTTCTTTTACATGCAGAAGTGCTCTAGTAATAGGTTTTTTTTTTTTAAAAATTTAATCTTGATCAAAGCTCACTTTAAGAGAAATTTACT